TGATGGGGTCAGAAGGACCCGGGGCTCGAACCTGCAACCTTCCAGGTGCCGAACAATAGCACTACCTCCTGTGCCACCATCTTCCCAAAGAAGAAATTCTGTTTTTGTTGCTTTTAATTTGCACGTTTTAATATTTAATGTGTTTTTTTCCTAAGCAAATATGCACTTATGCAGATAAATAGCTTTAAGCATTTTTTCCTTACTAAGACATTAGCACAGTACTGTATACACACACACACACACACGACAGTTATCCGTCTTACTCTTCAGTTGCAACATATTAATCTCAGTTAGACTGTTGCTCCAATTTCATTGTCCTACTCTGTGGCGATTGGGGAAACTGGTGGTGCTGGGGGGGGGGCGGGGGGTTGGGGGAGGTTCCTGAACTGCACTTTTTTGATAATCCTTTCAATGCCTTAACACAGCAAGAGGAAAATGTATTCGATGCACAAATCCCTTCAAAGCCTTCCGTTCATCTGTACCACTCTGAGCCTCCATCAGCACGACGCACCTGGAACACGGTGCTGGGAATGAGATCCACGGGATCGATATCACCCCCGCAGAATGGGGGGGTTCGCGTCACCTGGCCCCATATCAGCTCTGACGGGTGAGAGGATACCCCCCCCACCACGGGGATTAAAAGATGAGATCCTAATCTCTCTGGAGCTCAGTCGAAAAGAGAAAGTTGTTTAAAAAAATAAAACTACAACCTTTCAACCATAGTCCTATCACACAAAGAACTGAAATGGAGACCGTCTGTGCTGCAGTAATTTACTCGGTAAAACCCCACATCTCTCGGGACACATCGCTATCAATTGCGGAAGCGTAACGAATATCATGAAGGCCTTGATCATAATTAGAAGCTGCTGTATGACAGGTAATGAGAGGATCGTGAGTTTGGGGTCCAGTGATGAGCAGCATGTTACGAGTGTATCATGCAGGAGGACATTCTGAGGTTGCCGTGGAGGTTGGTTCTGAAGTAGAGCCCCCCTCCCTTGCTCACGACAGCCTGCAATGTCGGCTGCTGACAGTGTTGTTCAGGAAACGGATAGAGGGACTTTATTCAATTCAGTCCAATAACTGCTCCATAAGGGAGTTGGAGTATATGTCAAGCCGTTTCCCTGTCATGGGGATCGCCGCATTAGCACGGCCTGCTGGTTTACTTTAGCAAATTGAGCTGAGTTTCCTCAGATGTGGATGGATGAATGAAAGCACACGGTGCAGCCTCACAACACACTTCTCAGACGGCTTATGAGCCCCCAAAGTCAGCTACAGCTGTGATTAATGTGATGCCAGACGGTCATCTGGGAGGTTCCACTGCTTACACACACCTCACATCGTGCATCAATGCTGACGGACTAACGCAGAGGGCACAATGAGTGCCATTGTGTGACATTTCATGCATTTGTATAGTTTGGTTTCAGTAACAGTATTTCATAACCCCATTGATGGATTTCAGAAACAGGAAGCCTGCAGGAAAATTTGTTCAGCTAATATATGTCAGTCATTTCACCATCTGCCCAGAATAAATATATTTTCAAGAGTTTTGTCATGCAGATCCGGCACGATATTAAAAATCTCAGATGAGCACTAAGGTCCTGGAAAAAATTTTGCCCCCCCCCCCCGCCACCCCATGAAGAGAGAACCATTTAACGAGACAGACAAATTTCCCCTAAGACTCAACACAACTCGTATCTAGCTACAAATTTTTCACATTCTCTCTTTTTAAGCAGTTTTTGATATAGTGAAATTTCTGTGCTTTTGTACTCAGTGTTTCCCCTACGTTTACAGCTTGGGGGGGGCAGACGGACACCGGCAGGATTCATGGTGTTCATGTGTTTCTTTTAATGACAGCAGTCAAAAAACGCAGATATATTTGTTTGTTCTTCAGGTGGTTGACGCGACATTTTCCAACGTGCGCTCTCTGTCCGCTGGTGGGAGTGTGCTCACTGGTGTGTGCGCGCACATCGGGGCAGAACTCAGTGCAGAGGAGAATTGTAAACGCGTGACCGTGTACAGACAAAAATGACAAGCTGTTGTGTAAATAAGATAAGTAACATAAGTGTCACGATCCGCTCCGTTCGATCCCGATGTGTGCCACGCCCACCTCATTACCTCGTGTGATTCCCTGATTGTTCTCACCTGTGGCTCGTTACCAGTAGCTTGTCTTTTGTATTTAGTCCTTGTCTCAGTCAGTCTACCGAGATCCGTCATTGTAGTGTCAGTGGATGTCCGTACCTGTCTACCCCCGTCTGCAAATAAACCCTGTTTGCCCGACTTAACGGCTCCGCTCGCCTGCTTTCTGACTCGCCCACCCCGCGATACCTTACAATAAGGCTATTTAGTTTGTTTAATAAAAGGACAATGTATAGACCTGTTCTATAGGAAAGGTAACTTGTTGTGATCTGGCGCTATATAGAAAATAAAATTAAATGAAATTAACTTGACCTTCAAAGGGGGGCTGGAGGTGCCGTTGGGGGGGCGGGGGGCCCTAATATAATGGTAGGGGAAACACTGGTACTGCATGGGGGGCACTTTGCCGTTATACAAACCAAACAGGTCGGCTACCCCCAACTCCATGTGCATTTGTTCATTTGGAAAGAGGCCACCAGATTTGTGGAAATATCTCCGATTCCTTGGGGTCAGTTTGTTTAAGGCTTCGGTTCAAGATCGACATCAGGATGAGGTCTCAGAGAGGCGGTCTTCCTTTACGACATGCCAGGGGAGCGGACCGGTATTTAAAAATGTGAAGAATCGAAACCGAGAAGAGCTCGGTGAGTAACAAAACACACCTGGAAATCTCGTGTGCTCGTGGTCTTTGTCAGCCTGCGCCAACAACAACCTACTCTCAAGCATATGTGTAAATGCCCCCCCATCCCCAGAAGGCAAGATAAAAGGTTGCGTTTGAAGAGCATTAGCCAACGCACATTTGGGGATGACTCACTCAATCTCCCAGTTAGCTGAAGAAGCTCTATCGAGTTTGAGAGCTTTCAACGTTTTTCATGATGGTACACAAGCTCAGCCCTTTGCCCACAAACGGACATGCTTTAAAATACTTCTCGGGATTTGTCCAATTAAATAGTTGTGGATGATTTGACTTTGCAACCCCAGTTGG